AGGTTTTTCCTGTGGCAGCACATCACCCTCAGCCACTGCTTTCTGTTTTGGTGCTGGAGGCGCTGCCTGGCCCTGTCACAGCACGTGAGCACTCCCTATGAACAGCCACAGGCAAAACTGGGGGGGCACTTGTCCCCCCTTCCCAGTTGCCCAAGGGAGACAGAACAAGATGCCACTTCTCAGGATGGGGGTGGGGGCAGCATCCCTGCTGCAAGGCAGAGTGGGCAGGGAGTCTGAGTACTGTTTGTTCACATTCAGGCAGAAGAGCCAGGCTCAGCTAACGCTCTGTTGCTCATGATGTGGGGGGAGCTTGCAAGAGCCAGGGCAGTGTCAGCGACCCAAACCTCGCTAAGTCCCCCCCACACTCTGCAGAGCAGCAAAAGAAGCCAGTACAGCGGCTGGAAACACCCCTCCCTCCTCCCCACCAGGGGAGATCAAGGGCTCAGCCCCTCCAGGGCAGGATCACAAGAGGGAGGTTTTTCCCATGTCCTCTGTGTTGCTGTGTCCCTCTTGGCCCTGTGGATCAGGGAGGGGGAATGGGCAGAGGGAGTCTGAGCTCAGGAAGAGTTGACCCATCCTTCTGTAACCCCAGAGGACTCTTCAACACACAGCCCCCTGAGAAGCCTAATTTGGTCTTCAGCATTATCAAGGTCCCTTTGCAGAGGGAGGCAAGGACACCTGCCCTTTTTTCTTCAGCCTTGCAGACAAGCAGAGCTCCGGGGACATATAAACAAGGAGCCGGGAGACAAATTCCATTCAACAGAGTGGGGCACTGCCCCACACCAAACACCCCATGCGGGTGGATGAACAGTGTCACAAACCCCCTTGATAGGAAGCAGAGCACCTACAGAGGACTCTGGGATTTAGAGTGACTGTGAATCTCTTGAAACCTTTGGTTTCCCATATTATTCCTAAAATCTTCTCAGATTTTGTTCCTAAGCCTACCTGGCTTTAGGAAGGATCCCAGTGGATCCTGAGGAGAAGGTTTATGCTGGAGCTGTAAGAAATCTGCTCCTAATAGCCATAGTGGTACTTTTTGGGAAGGGATGTTTCCCACCAGCCAGAAAAGGAGTGTTGGGAAGGGGTGCTGGGATGAGATGCTCAGTGGGCTTTGGGGTTGGCTCCAGCCAAGGCATTCTGCTGGACCATCTGAGTGCGGGGCAGGTGTCAGGCTGTGCCAAGATGTTCCCGAGGCGCTGGGTGCATCCCGTCAGAGGTTTGTCCTGAGGTAACTGGCTCTGCTCAGTAAACACCTCGCAGCTTCTCTGACTGACAAGCCTTTGGGTTTCCGGTGTGCACGAGCACAAGGTGAACTTTCGGGGGATATTTTCTGCTACAGGCGGTTTTGCAAGTGCGTGCGTGAGTCACTTCACCTCCCCCTGACACCAGAGGAACCGCTCACACGAGTCCAGTCACTCATGTGTGCACGGGCCCTCGCAGGCCACTGCCAACCCTCCGTGCTCCTGGAGCACCAGCACTGCCCTGTCCCCCACAGGGATCCCAGGGATCTCAGCTGACCTCAGCCAAAGGCGGCTCTCCAGGTGTGGGATGGGAGCAAACGGCACTGGAAATCGAGTTGTCTGACTCTGAGATGAAGGCATAATTCTTGAATTGCTCATTTGATATCTTTTCTGGTTTATTTGTTTAATAAAAGGACTTAGCCAGAGACCCAGGCTCCTGGGGTTTTCATTTCTCTGCAGAGGAGATAAGAAAAGCGCATTTCCTTATCCAGTGAGTCATTTTTCTTGCTCTTTAATTATGCATTTGTGCGATTATCAAGCGTATTCAGCTCTGAGATGCAAACAGCTCAAACTACTCACCAAGCTTTAACTTTTGCTATTCCAAAAACAATCAAGCACAGTTATGAAGGGTAGAGGAGGCAAAGATGGGGGAGATGAAAAGGGGGACAACTGATGCCCAGAACCTGGGCCGTGCTCGTGAGCAGGCCCACATGTGAGTGCTGCTCGGGTAGTCAGCACTGGTTTTCTCCTTGAGTAAGCATTATTATGTGTAAATTCAGACATGTCTTCTTGGCCCAGGAGGAGGTGGACAAGCTGGGACAAGGGCAGGGAAGACCTGTAGAACCTGATAAAGAGGGATGTGAAAATGGGGGGAATAGGGTAATGTCAGTGGCAGCAATGAGGCTGCAACCTCCTTGCATGTAACAGGACCTGGGAGTGCTTCGTTCACAGGAGGGCATGACTGCTGCCATCCCTGGGCTCCAAGTTTTCTTCAAGTTTTCTTTCCATGTACTGGAATGGGATCTGTCAGCTCCTGAGCTTTAATGTACATCCTGCCCTCCATGTTGAAAGCACTGTGTAGGTTACTTGCTTTGGGCTTTCCCCAGCGTGCATGTTTGACTGGGCTCACAGAGTTAAGCTGTAAGTGTGGTAGAGCAGATGCTGGGAACCCCTTCTCACCCTGCACTTTAGGCCAAGCATGGAGGAGAGACAGGAGGAAGAGTGGCATGGTGACAGTCCTGTGGTGGGACCCACAGAAACAGGGGCTGGGGGTCCCTGAGAGATGATTGACATGGGGAAAGTACAGTGGGGGATTTGAGAGGTGAGGAAAACTGGAATGAAGGAGAAGCATACCTCTTTGGGAAAAGGAGACTAGCAAGTGGAAACACCCGAGGGTAAGAGGAACAGCAAAGCCTTGGGAGCAGGGAGGTGGTTTGGGGATAGATATCCTGACAGAGCACCAGATGTTGTGTGGGAATCCTATATGCATGTCCTCAGCCCCACCAGCACACAAGACAAGGTATTTTCTTGGCCCTAGACCCTACACTTCTGAGAGCTGCCTACTGGGGACAGTGAAGATTCCAGGTGCCCTCTCCTTGCCAAGTCTCTCTACTGTGGAGCTCAGATGTGGACTGGAGTGAGCCTTTGCTTTTATTTTTCTCCCTGCTGTGGGTCATGGCTCTGCATCACAGCTTTCCATCCCTTCCTGCTGCTGGACACTTGGCTCTCCAAGTCCCATGCCTGCAGCCCAGCCCTGCTCCTCACCTGGGGTGTGTGAGAGGCAGAGGGTCAGCTGAAGTGGGACATGGAGAGATGTGCTGCTGTTTGACCCAGCCCCCCAGCAGGTACGAGCAGGGTGAACGCAGCCTGCTCAGGGCAAGCAGCGAGGCAGAGGGTGCTGAGCTCTCGTGCCATTTGTGCTCAGGGCTGTGCTGAGAGAGGGAAGTGCTTGGCATGCCCCCACTTGACTAGGGAGTTTTATTTTGACTAAGATGGAGTGGGAATAGCTGAGCCACAGACACAAGGATGGCTGGCCTCTCACAGCTCCTCAGTGCAGCCACAGCCCTCTCTCAGCCATTCCTGCTGGCACGGCACAGGGGTGAGGGAGCAAGTGCCTGGGCACACTGCCTGGAAGAAGTGAAATCACAGTAGGTATGGGACTGGTGGGCAGTGACCAGGTTTTTTGGGACTTTGGCTTGCCTGGAACCCTGCGGCGTCCATAGTGGGGCTGAGACTGTGTTGGGGCTGCTTTGACATTGCTGTGATGCAAACTATCCCCTGGAAATGCTGCTGGCAGGGAGGGAGATGTGCTGTATGGCAGCTCCTCCCCTGCAGGGCATGGAGTACCAAAGAACGTACTTGGGCTGAGATCTAGCGTGGGGAGCTGGTGACTGCATCCTACTCCCATCTTCAGGAGGTGGGATGTGAGCCTGTGCGCTCAGCTTGTCCAACAGTCACTGGTGAGGAGCAGGCACATTCAGGGACCAAGTCCTCAGGCCTGTCTCAGAGGACCTCAGCTGCCAGCTGGGGGCACCTGGTACTCGGTCACCTTGAGCCAGAGCACCCTTTGGATTTTTTCCTCCTCCCCTCCCAGCTTTGATCCAGGACAGTGGGCAGTAGAGGCCTTACTAGGAGTCCAGATGCTGTAGCTGCTGGAAGGACATGACTCCAGCAGTAAAGCCTATTAGGGATCTCCTGGGTAGGGCAGGTCAGTTGTGGCTGGCTCCTTTCTTGCCCATGGAGTGAAGAAAAAGATGTGACTTTTGTTGAGTAGGAATGGAAGAGATGCACCTACAGCACTGAAATACATCTTTTCAGGTCTCAAGCATCAGGCTTTGATGTGTGGGTATTGGTGGTGGAACATTTCACCTGCTCCTGATCAGGAATGCCTAAGACTATTAAAGGATTTTTTTAGTCTCTTCCAATGGTTTGAGGACCAGGCTTGCTTGGTGTGACCTGCTTTGCCCATGCCCTGCACATTTACTGAGCAAAACCAGATCTGAAGATCTGATGAATGAGACATGGTGCTGAGGAGCCACAGTCTGGGTCTGCACTGGAGAGGATGGAGAGAGCAAGGTGCATTGGAGAGGATGGAGAGCACCATCAGTAAGAGTGAAGAACACAAAACAGCTGGCCTCCTTGCAGAGCACTCACTGGCAGGATGTGTCCTCGGGGCAGTGGGAGCTTTTAAAAGGGGAAACATCAGTGCCCTTTCACTCTTTTCTCCTCTGGCCCTTTGCATTTTCAATCCAAGCCAGATCTGTGCCCCTGGGATGGAGTCTTGTAAAGACCTGTGCACAGGAAAGTCTCCTGTAGACACTGAGGGGGCTTTTCAGTGTAAGCAAAGGAGGGTGCAGGCTGGGGGACATTCCTGGGCTGGGGGCAACACGCAGGTGGGCAGGGGAGGAGTGAGGATCAAGGAGGTCGGGCTGGGACACAATACCCCTGGGTACGAGGTGCTGCGTGGCTGAGGCACACGGGGGGCTGCGGGGATTTCGGGAGCATATTTTGGAGGAGAGGGGTAGTTTGAGGGCACATTGCAAAGGCAGGCAGGGGTAGGGCTTGGTTGCTTGCTCTCCTCCTCCCTGGTGAAGATCCGCCCCAGGCCAAGCACAGCGATTGTGAGCCCCAAGGGAGACGACGCAGCTTGACAGACTGTATCTCCCTCTGCCACGGGGCCTGGGGCGCTGCGATTTCACACTCCGGCGGCCCTGTCACTGCTACGCCCTGCAAGAGCTGGGCTCTCACTCCCACTCTGCCATGTCCTCATCAGGAAAAGCTGCCATTGCCTCCTCCTGCCTCTCCTTCGAGTGCTTCGACACCCTGACCAAGTCGTGCATCAAGTGCTCCGACCTGTTCCAGGAGAACACAAGTAAGGGGACAAGGGCAGCTGCAGTCTGAGCTCCCCAGGGCTGGGTGGTGTTTGGCCAAGGGGCCTGGGGGCACCCCAGGCACGGGGATGGCTATGGAGGTGGCAATGGAGGATGGAGCACCACCTCTATCTAAAGCAGAGGGGAGCAGGGCAGCCAGGTACAGTGAGAGGAACATGGTGTAGGGAGAAGTTGGATGATCCAGCCTAGGGATCTCATCAAGCAGGGGGATATTTTGTTACTGGTGGCAGGTGGGTTACAGTTAAGTGCCGCACTTCCCTGCGACCGCAGCCCCCAGGCCAGCCAGGCAGGTGAAAAGTGCTGCTGGCCTCCGTCCTCCTTCAACTTTCCCCTTCCTGACACTACCGGCATCTCACCCCACAGCAGAGCCCACCCTGGCACCCCCCCGGGCCAGCACCTTCCTGATCTTCGGGGTCCCGGTGGTGGTGGGGTTCGTCCTGGTTCTGGCTGCCGTCTGTGTCTTCCTGGCCTGCAAGGAGGGAAAACGAAGGAGAAAGAGAAAGGCAGCAGATGAAGAGGACAAAGGTAGGAGACCTCTTCCTCTCTCTCCCACAACACCCTGAGGACGCTGGGGCAGATGGGATCACTTACTGCTGGCTCCACTGAGGCACAGCCCAGGCTAGCTCCTCCACCTCAACATCAGCTCCACAGGCATCCCATGGCATTTTGGGACACTTGAATCATGGCCTGAGTGACAGTGTCCTGCATTCCCTGGGAACCTATGCCTGTATCTGACTGCCAGCACAGCCCTGCTGAACCATCCGTCCCTGTGCCTTTGTTTGTTTAAAGCATGTCCTGGCACCATGTCCTCTCCACAGGGGACACGTATGGAGCACTGGTAAGTAGGAGCTTGGTGAGCTCCCTGGTGAGAGCCCTCTCCCCCACTAGCCAGAGGAACATGGATGGAGTGGGAACAGTGGGAGCAGTGGTGGACACCTGGGGATGGCTCCAGAGGCAGCCTCTCCCTGTGACACTGCCGTGGGGGTCCTGTGTGGACCACCAGCTTGCTTCTTGTGCTCGAGATACCCAGCATCCTCCAAGATGCATCCCAAAGACCTCATTGGGATGTCAGGGCCAGCCCCATTGACAGTACACTGCAGCACTGCACAGGGTTATCTGCTGCATCAAAATTAGGGCTGGGGTTCAAGGAATGGGGCTGAGCCTTTCCTAGCAGGGTACTTCCAGGAGAATAAGGCCACACTGCTCCATGATGGCCCATTTTGCTGGGGCGGCTCTTTCCTCCCTCGGGGGTCCCTGCACTGGCACTGATTCACCCTTGAACAATCTTCTCCAAAGTGGTCTTGCTTGGCTTCACCCCTCCCCATCCCCAGGTAGGGGGTATGGCTGTCCAGGACCGCCAGGAGGGGCTGCCACACAGGGCTGCTGGCATGCACCACTGCCCCACCACCCAGGTGGGTGTCCACAGTGGGGTGGCTGGTCCTTGTGCCCTGCTTGCCTGCACACTTCTGGCACTGCCGGATGGTGACTCAGACCAGGGGGACATTACCCGGGGCCTTTTTGCTCTGTGACAGCCCATGACGCACATGCCTAGAAAAAATACCAAAAGCGAAAGAGAAGGGAGAAATCCAGCAGTGAGAGAGATCTGGCCATTATGGAGGCACTACTCAGTCTCCTGTTGCGTACCCTGCTCCGCATCCCCCGTGTCCCCCAAGGCTGTACCACACAGCAAGCCCAGTGCTGTGGCGCTGGATGTGTGGGAAGTGGCAGGAGGCTTGGGGCTGGAGGCACACGCCTGCGTTCAATGTGTGTAAACAAGTCTATTTTTAAGTGGGAGGCAGTCGGGGAGGGCAAGCTGCCATGGGCTGGGCTCTTCTGCTGCCAGCAGGGTTGAGCGAGAGGACTCGAAGTGGAAGTGCAAGTTTCGGCCCTTCCCTCTTGCCTTTTAGCGGGGGAAAAGCCCACTGGTTGTAAGCAGGATAAATTCTGCAGCAGAAGAGATGTGGGAACCTTGCAGACTCCTCCTGTTCCAGATCCATCTTCTCCCCTGGGGACAGGACGGTGTCCATGAGCCCTTTTCTTGTCCCTTCCCAGAAAACATAGACATCGCCAGCCCCCTGCCCAGCCAGGACTCTGCCATGCCAGAGGGAGAGGGTGCCCTGAACCCAGCCCCATGCCTGCATCTTGTTGGGAGCCTGAAGATGCCAGGGACACCCAGGAAAGCCAGGGCAAAGCAGAGGCCGTGCTGCCAGGGCGATGCTGATGGCGACATTGTCCTGCTTTCCGCTGTGTACCCCCGGCCTGAGGAATGCAACCACAGCTTCCCACTGCCGGCCACTGAGCTGGGGGCCACAGCGCTGGTCACCACCAAAACCACCCAGAACTGCGCCAGAGAGGAGAGAGTCTGAGGACAAGGGGAGAGCTGGAGAGCTCTGGCCAATCCCTGTGGACACTGACAGCTTGTTCCTGGATGAGTGAAGACTTCCATGGGTGTGAGCTCCATGAGGACCAAGATCAGCCTTTTAAGATGACTGTCCTTTTTGTGCTGAGCCCCAGGTTACACCTGTAAGTGCTGGAGGAAGCCAAAGTGGATCATGCTGAGTTACAATGAACTGTCGACAGCTGACATGGCTGAACCATTGGGAGGAGGCAGAGACACAGACTGTGAGGAGGGCGTGTGGCAGCGACTGCTGTGCCCTTTGCAAGGCAGCTGTTGTGCCTGGACAGGTCTCCTGCTGAATGGGTAACTGCTGGGAACATGGGGCTGGAAGACCAGAAATTCCAGGGGAAAAGGAAGCAGGGAGTTACTTTAGGACCAAATCCCACACAGCAGTAGCTCGATTTTTGCTACTGACCTCAATAAAAGTAGACTTGAGGTGATATGAAGCAAGGCACACCCAGCATCTACTCCATTTAGAGTCCTGCTGCCCTGTCTTCTGCACTCTGTGACACCCAGGTCTTCCCACCCTCTGGGCTCTCTCACATGGTGGCAGGCATCCACCGGCACTCATGGGAACCCCCTCCACAGCCAGGTACCCTGGGGATAGGAAAAAAGTTTGCCTTCCCAAGCAGTGAAGAGGGGGAAAAATCTGTCCTTGCTTTGATCTATACTCCCTGAAGTTAGGGAGGACCAGGGGCAGGCAGTGGAGACAGCTAGTCCAGAGGAGCTCCCTGGACGTGTCATTACAGCCCCAGACAACCGTCACTTCAGCTCACTGTCACTGCAGAAATACCGTGTGTCACTTGGGATGGATGCTTCCACACTGCACAAAAGCAGTCAGGGAGTGATGTGAGCGTAGGCAGGATGACTTAATTTATGACAGTGTCCTCAAGGCTTTGCCTGTGTGCCAGAGCTGGCCAGCATTGCTGATCACAGGCATTTCCCCGTAGGTGGGTTTCTTCATCCGCCTGTAAGTGCCTTTACTGCACAGGAAGGGCTCTGTCTGGGAAGTGAACTCGTTCGTCTGGGATTGCTGATTCTGAGTAATTACAGCAGCTCATGCCCCCTGGCTGAACAGAGACTCTGGGTTGGGTGAGAAGCCCCTGGAGAAGGTGATTAGTCACTTAGAAGTGCTTTGAGGGGTTATTTACATGAAGCACCATCTCTGGGTCTGCTCTTCCTTAGATGAGGTGGCTTCCTTGTCTGGGAGGTTTTGGACACTGAACAGAGCTGGACAAGCAAGGTTTGGGGGCACTGACACCAGGCACTAATGGCCACTGAGTGCCATATTCCCAGTAAGGTCAGTTGGAGGCACTGTGTGGAGGGGATGGCCCTCTGATGATGGGAAGGTGACTCCCTGCCCAAGCCTGAGTTCTCTCTGGGGCTGCAGGACAGGTGCTACTGTTGAAGGGTGACCACCTCTCTTCTCCCCTTTCTGCACTGCAGTCAGACTCATAATCTGTCACATAAGGGCAACCACAGGTGCTGCCACAGGAGCAAGGCCAAAATTACTCACCACAATTCCTCTCCCAGACCTTAACAGACTGGCAGAGGTGAACCCTCATCTGATTGAGGCTCCACATGATCTAGGATGGGATGGATCTCCATCTCAGCCTTGGGGCTGAGGATGGTGGAAGAGGTGGTTCACGTGCCCAGTGACTGTCTCCTGGGGCTCCAGACACCTGTGGCAGAAACTGGGGGCTCAAAGGCTGGTGTCCCAGCTACCCAAACAGCCTTGCTGCCCTTTGCAGAGGGGGTACTGCCACGGCACGAATCAGACATCTCATCCTCATGCTCCGCACCCAACCCTATGAAGTAACTTCAAACGACCTGTGTGTATGTGGAATGGGGAAAAGAGCCAAAGCCAGGTCGGGAGATGGTTTGTCATTAGAAGAACTGCTTCTGGGAGACAGAGCAACCTGTTTCACGGGAGATGGGGGTGATAAAAAAATGGAGCAGAACTGTCAGGATCCACCTCCACTTTCCTCCCAGTGACAGCAGCAGCCCAGCCCTGTGGATGCACTACCCACCCCAGATGATCTGGGAATTTGAAAAAGAAACACCCCTACAAATCCTATTGAAAAAGTTCCTCTTTCTGCTCAGGTAAGGACTTCTGTTCTCATGTCTGCTGGAGCTTAAGCCAGACACCTCCCTGTATGGGATGCCACTGGCATTTGCAGCACGCAGAGTGGCAATTGGATCCACACTGTATTCCTCGAGCAGGGAGTGCCCCTTGGATCTCCTCTCTGTTATGGCTTGTGAGGTGCCTTCCCTGCATCATGTCTGCCAGCTGTGGTGGGGCAGTGCTCCCCCTCTGCTCAGTCTGCCCAGGAGGGATCTGTAACCTGCTCTGTGTGCTTCTCCATCCTTATGTACAGGGTAGAGGGTTCTCCGTTTTGTCTGCATGGGAAGCCAAGGGAATAGAGATTAAAAATATGGCAGTAAAAATTAAAGAATAAAGTGAATCCATCATCAATGCATGCTCAGAGGTCTGAATGGGGTCCCCATTTTCCTGGCTTTAGGGGTCTCCAGCATGATGGACCTTGGGGTACAGCAGGGATTTGAGTTGAAGAGGCTCCCCTGGCAGTGGCTTTATCAACACATTCCCTATATATGGCCACCTGCATGGCCAGGAACCAGCCAAACCTGACCACCTGCATTTCCCCACAGCCATGCCAGGAGCTGGCCATTAGGACAAGGACTGGGGAAAGTCTTTTTTTGGGGGGTTGGGGTGGGGATGTTGCCTGTCTTTGACTTTCCATAGCAGTTTCTCACTTCCCTCTGTGAGGCAGGAGCTGTGCTTCCTCCTCAGCCTGGCACTGCCTGCACAACTGCCTTGAAAGGCTGGTGAAGCTGGGCTTCACTTGGGTGCATGCAGGGGCATGGGGTTTTAGAGAGAGCCAGGGGAAAGTCTGAGGAAACCCCTGGGCAAGAGAAAGCAACTGAGGCTAAAACCCTCCTCACTGCAAAATCACCTCAGTATCTCCCTAGACATTTCAACTCCACAGACCCTGTTTTGGAGTAGGTCCTGAGCGTATTTGAGCTCCTGCAAGTCTCACCAAAAATGCTGGTGGTAAAGGAAAGAAGTCTTGGTGCAGCTCTGGACATGAGTTTGTTTTTGTCCATGGTCCCAGAGTCAGGAGCCAGCTGGCCAACAGTGCACGGCAATGTGAAGAGACGAACCTGGCCAAGGGTCTCCTGCAGCAACCAGTCGTGTCTGCCAAACCCTTCTCAACCCCATAGGCTTCCCAGACTCCAAAGTGAGGCTTTCCTCCCTCACTTGCTCCTCTCCACTCCCACTACTGGCTCACCCACCAGTTTAGTCTCCTGATAGTTCACCCACAGATCCAACTACTCCAGCCTAGAGCCCACTCAGGCCCCCGCAGACCCAGCTTGCCCCTCCATGGGCAGGGTCTTGACAGCAGGCAGGGCAGGCAGGGCAAGAGGGCACCATTTCATCCCATACACGAAGTAATGTCCCGATGGCAAACCTCCAACAGGGTCTGTCTGTCTCTGGCTGCAGCCTCTGATCCCCCCACCTGCTGCAAGGACGGGGCTGTGGGGCCGCCCCATCGTATGCTCGCGGAACACGGATCTCATCCCATCCCACAGGGACCCTTACCATCTCTTACTTCCCAGCGCCAGCAGTGGCACGGCGACACGCGGGTGCCCTGCAGTCTCGGGGAGCACCCGTGGCAGGAGAAGAGAGGTCAGCAGTCCCGGGGCGCCTGCCACGAGGTGGCACTGACACCACACGCCGGCAGGGACGGGGACAGTGCCCCAAGGCTGCCAGGGGACCAGGCTTGTGGCCAGCCCCACTTGGGGCAGATGGAAGGGTGACAGCTGGGTGTGACTGTCACACAGCCCAGCACCGTGGCCTCTGGGCTGCCCAGGAGAAATGGTCGCTGGTGACTGGACACCTGTGGGGCAGCCAGAGGCACAGAGAGCTGCTGCTCCATCCCACAACAGCACTGAGGACCTCGAACATCATCCTGCTCCCTGAGCAGCCCATTCCCAGTGGTGTCAGACCTCTCTGAGCATTCTCCAGGACATGGACCTGCCACCTAGCACCTCTCTTCTCCATCCCCTCCCTGTCAGCCTTTGCCAAAAAGGAAAATACCGTGCTACCCACAAGCTCCCCAAGTGGAAAAGGCCAGGGAGAGAAAGGGCTGGCCAGCTCCCTGTGCGATGCTGTCAGGGGACCACAGCCTTCCTGATGCTGCTCATCAGCATCCCTCCCTAATTGCTACCCAGTGCCTAATGACAGTAATTAGGAAGAACGAAGCTGCCTGGGGACTGGAAGCGCTGACAGAGTTGGGGGAGACAGATGGTGTTCGCACTTAAAGAAAGATTGGAAAAAAAAAATTCCACTCAGCTTCGATCAGCCTCCTTTTCCTTTGCTTAGTGTCAGGATCACTTCGGTCCACAGGCACATCAGGGAGAGGCAGAGATGTTGCACTGGTCATTTTCAAACACAATATCTACACACACACACACACACAAACACACACCCCATAGAATAGCCGGTGTTTTAGAGTGCCGAGGGAGCTGCGGGAGGGGGCACAGTGCCTGCCTGGGTACCTGGCATGGAGGGGATTTCCTCACTGCTTTTGTGGGCTGACGCTCTCCCCTGGGGCCGCCCCCACAGCTCCCGGCTTTGCTGGCTGTGATCAGCGAGCAGCTTCCCAGGGGTATAAAGTGAGGGAACAGCCCAAAACCACCTGAGCAGCTGTGGTGAGCAGACAGAAGCTCACCTGGCAGAAAGAGCTGGCCAAGGGACAGCCCCACATTTTCCCCATCACTGTGGAGTGAAGACACTACACTGGGCTTTCCAGGGAGCACCCAAAACCGGACCTCGGCAACCAGAGCAATTGGACAGGGACTGCAATGCACTCAGCTTTAGTGCCTGGAGAAACCCCACCTGCACAAAACCCCCTCCAAACCCTTTCACACAGCCCCTTCCACCCGAATCCTGGGGTGATGCCACCTGCCTCCAGAGCTACCTGCCAGACTGCAGCTGCACCTGGGCAGAGAGACGATAGTGGGGTGTGAGGGAAACCCCCTTCCTGCCCCTTAGCAGTTGTCCCAAATGCTCTCAGGGTGCCCAGGACCTTCATTCCCCAGAGCACTCTGGGGATGCAGGGTCAGGGTTATGCTCGGTAGGGAAGATGCTCAGCCTCATGGAGGAGCATGCTCAGCCCTATGGCATCGGCCTGGCCCCACTCAGGGGAT